TTCTCCAGCGACATCAGTGTGTTATTATTAACATTATAACATTCACAATAAAACACAATACATGACTCAATGATTTTTCGATCCAATCCTGACATCGTTTGGTCCAAATATACTACATTATATATTATTATTTATATTATTATATATTATTATTATTATATTATTAGTTATTACTGTAAGAAATTTTTCATTTTTTTTCATTTCTACTTCCTTTCATTGAATAGCTAATAGTACAACTTTTCAGGAAGGGATGATTGGTCAATAAAAGTTCTGCCATACAACACACACACACAGAATGGGGAAAGTCAGGCGGTGGTGTTGGGATTCGAACACACTTCCCGTGGGGTGATAATTTGGTGAAAGATATCGAGCCACCACCAACTGGAAGGGGTGTACTAACCAATTGCCTCTATTGCTGGACAATTATTTGGCAGGAGGGGGATTTCATCGAATTCAAAGTCTATTTGTGCCATGGGAGGAGCGCGAGAAACATTTCACATTTACGAGGGAGTTGGTTCGGATCGACTTTTCATTTGCGGAATTCCGTCTTACCTCACCAAATCGAATGTTCAATAACAATTCTAATGGATTCTTTCAATGAAAGCATCGAGATTCGGTTCTCCGTGAACTTGCAATGACATGAGAAGAAGAGTGGTACAGACTAAGTCTTGTCTACTGAATTTACTATATCAATATATATTGATCAAATTCATTATTAGAGTGATAACCTGCCAAAATGTGTGCGCGATACTCATACGCACTTCAAAATTTAAACCCATACCTTTCCGTACCACAGCTCACGGAAAGAGTTTGGTTTCTTATATGGTGAATTTATTTCGCTTATTGATTTCGAAGATATTGTGTTGAATTATGTTTCTATATCCCAACTATTTTAAACATTTGAAGCAACTCACATCAAAACGGAAAACACATTCCGCGGTAGCAGAAGCCGGTTTAATGGTTCCAAAATTGTTTTCACAATCTTTATGTTCTTTCTCACAATTGAATTTCTAACGAGGAAGAGCACGCTTGAAAAAAAAACATTTTGGTCAGAAAAATCACAACGACACACTGGTACTCATAAGTAATAGAAAGTTGAAAATGTAAAAATGTGTTGAAATCATGTCAAATATTGTACCACATTTTATCGGCTGGCAACACTTGAACCGGGTGACGCTTGTGACTGTGTGACAGCCTCAATTCGAACACACTCAGATGAATACTAGAAAAAACGCGTTTTAATTAATTACTTGTGTTCCTCTGTGGTTTGCCCAGCACAAAGTGTACAGGTTTTTTGATGAGAAACAGCAAAACCTATCTAGTCACCTGATATCACCATGTGTGCATATGATGATGATGTGTAGTTTTATCGACATTTAACACTCGCAAACTTTGACATGAACGCACCTTTTCTGCCCTTCTTTTTCCTCCCTTTCTTTGCTTCAAACGCGGCAGATAGATACATTTTATTTATATATTTCTTTCCTGTTAGAAATTCCGCCCAGTCAATGGTCGCGTCTCCATTTTTCTCGTGTAGTTTGACCAGTTCGGACCACATTGTTTGCGAGTCGTACGGTGCATTTAGTGCTTGAAACACAGTCTCCATATCATCCTTGCTCAGACGTTTCAACGCTTCCACCCCGGAGTCTCGACCACCATCCTTACTACGTCCACGTCGACTTCTTCGTTTGCCTTTTGCCTTTCGGCTTCTGCGACTGCCTGCTGTTGTGGCCGACTTTTCCGACGCAATAGTGGTCTGGTCCGTTCGAGCTGTGTCCAACTGGTCATGGTCACCCATCGCGGTCAGTGGGATCTGATCCGCATTGATCATATCCGTATTCTGGGCCAATTCTTCCATTTGTGAGGCACGAATCTGTTCGGCTTCTACGGCTAAATAACGGGCCAGTTCGGTGAATCTATGTATCACTTCATCAGTTCTTGTCACGGACCAGTCATACAGACGAATTAGCTCGGGATTAGTATTTTTGATCACTTTTCCCGAACCCCGTTCGAGTTTTCGTAGCTCCCGAACGCACAGTTTTTTTCCTTGTTCAGTCGCTATGCTTCGAGGAAGTTGACCATCTTCGTTCTTGATTCGCGCATCACATCCTGATATAATTGCCCAGGTTTTGTGGCGCGGTGGTAGGGAGAGGGATTGTAGAATTCACCATGAATGAATGAATATAAAATGTGGTAAATTATTCTATATGTTTCATCATGCATGAAAACGATCAGTACGGAAGGCAGTGATCACATGGATAGCATCTTTGTATTTGTATAAATTTCCCAAGCTGAGATATACTTACATTTCAATTAAAAAATGTACACTGGTCGTCACATCGGAGAAAATATAGAAGTATAGACAAATCCAATACATTGCTGTGCAAAAAATGTCTTCGAAGTTCGATTCATTCATGTAAATATCGAGGTAATTAATTTATAACTCGTTCCTTGTAGGACAACATTTGAACCAAATATGATACAGGGGAGTTTTTATAAATGTTTATTCTCAAGGGTGGATACCAATAAGAGGAACGAGTGATCGAATAGGAGCAACAAGAAGATGAGTCAAAGTGCAAAGATGCAAAGGATGAGCGGGATCGTTTAGATCCTTGTTGGTAAAGGTCACACAAGACTTTATATGACCATTAATAAGTTCTGTGAACAATGACTCGGCGGAAATTAAAGATGTAAGGCTCATTATAATCAGTCCACGAGGGATAGCTTAAAAGTCTTGTTTTAATAGACCAGTAAACACTACAGGTAATACAAGTAAAATAGGGAGAACACATTTTTTAACAAAAGAGAACAAAACTTGTTGGGGAGTGCGAAATTGTCTGAGTTTCCGAAGCTGAAAGGAGAGGCGCCGAGGTTTCCCATACAGTTCTGAATGTCTGTTGACCACCGAAGATTATTATCGATGGTAACACCCAGATATTTGGTTGAAGTCACTCTAGAAAAAAGATTACAATTAAGGGTTACAGAGTTTGACGGGAATGTAGAGCGGAAAGAACTAAAAATGCACTTCAAGCATTCAGATATGCTGTGTTTTCATTCCTTGACAACCGTTTGTGGTTGACCCTTTCACAATGACAATCAAATTGTTTTAAAATGCATATTCCAAACGGTCATTCTTCAACTTTTGTCTCCAAGGTAAATCATTGTCTCAGTTAGTCGACCACATGTATACAGGAAGAACTCTACTCGAGTTTGCCTTAATTGGAATTGATCAATAATGCACACCCACGGGCTCTTCTGGAATTTGAACTGCCGACTCGTTGCTCGGAAACCGAGTGCGGGAACTAGCTCACTCGGCGTTTGACCAAACTTGCCTATTCAAGTTTATCAAAGTTACGCGTGAATACAGAAAAATGACATGGCATTGGACGTACATAACTAAGTAGCTTTGTCAGACCAAACAAGACTTCAGTCTTATGCTTCCCGAGCAGTTGGTTGGATGAATGGTCTGAGAATGCTGCATGAAAATGAAGTATACTAGTGCTCTTATTATTTTTGGTTAACTGTATATCGCCTGCTGGACGAATAACTCATGAATTATCGGTGTTTCTATTGAAGTCTCAGTGTGTGTTTCACAACTGGAGACAACCGCCGCAATATTCGGTTATCCATGAAGGATCTGGTCTGCGCTGAAGCTGTCTGGCCGGTGCTGTTGCAAGGTGCGGAGAAAAGGCCTAAAAGGAACTTAACAGTGTTGGAACGCCGTTGCCTGCGCTGCATTGATCCAATCAGGTGAGAAAACCGAACACATCATAATGTGTTCAGGCGAAATTGAGGGTAGCCCATTAGAGCAGGTGCTTGACTATCATGAATTAGGATGACCTGGACATATGTTACTCGGATCACCAGATTAGTCGGCCTTGCCATGCGATATTTGCCCAACAGAGGCAATGAGTTGAGTGCATGAAAGGGTTAACCCTGGGAATTTGGATATTTAGATTGTTTTAAGCATCCCGGTCACGGACCTCAATAGCTAGAGACATCGAGTGATACACCCCAGTGCCATAGATAGCGACAATCCTGCAGCTACATAATTTCTTTTCAAATTTGGTTGAACTGCATTTTTTTCTACTATGATACTGCGTCAATATTTCTATTCAATGTCTCTATTTCTGTCAAAAGACGGTAACGAAAATCACTGCGTGAAAATCTGCGATTAGTGGTTGAATCCATTGAATTGAACGGAAAGATGCTCAAGAAAGAGCAATGTTAGTATGATTTCACATCACGATTGTAAAATCTGTATACTACTTGAAACAGTTGTAAAAGGCATTATTGTCCTTTTCAGCTCCAATTTTTCTTGGTTCTATACAATATCTATTTATTTATTTCTGCGTCTGATATACCAGTATTCCACGTTCCTGCTCGTATTTCAAAACGAACCAATCTGGGAATCGTATGTAACTTACAGTTACTTGTGAGTAGTGCTGTGGGATGATTAATAACCAACTATCCTTCGGACCTCATCTTCACGCACCATACTCAGTTCATCGATTCAATCATACACTCGGAAGCACTAGACTCGAGTTTCGCTCTTAGAGCTAGAGTTCATCAGTAGTGCATTTACGAGTAACTGTGAGTTAAATACGAATAATCAACCGAACCTGGTATGTTTGTGGCAAGTCAGCCCGTGACCTGCATGGAAATCCTGACTTGGTGGGAGCTTTCGATTGGAGCTAACAGATTGTCATCTGTGTCTCCCTTCGTTGCTGTCGGAGCCAAATGAACGAACTGACTATCACTATGAGCTGGTAACACGCACACCTTTCATGCCCGATGGGTCCGGAGTTCAACTGCCGGACTGGACGGTGAATATGATGCACTACTGATGAGCTCCAATAAGAGCGAAATTCGAGTTCAGTGCTTCCGAGTGTATGGTTGAATCGATGAACTGAGGATTGTGCGTGAAGGCGAAGTCCGAAGGATAATCAGCTTAAATGAATAGACAAGTCAATTGTCTCACACTACTTCTCACAAGTTACTGTGAGTCAAATGCTGATAGATATGTCCGAATGTGAAAATGGTGAAAATCGTGCAGCTACTTAATTTCTTCTCAAATTGAGTCTAACTGCATTTCTACACTGTGCCGATCTTTCTAATCACTCGCTCTATTTCTTTATCTCAGTGAGTAGCCAAAAGACAGCAACCAAAGCTACTGCGCGAAAAACTACGAATAGTGGTTGAATCCAGTGAGTTAAACGGAAGATGGTCAGGCAAGGTCTATGTTATTTCATATCACGACTGGAAAATCTGCTTACGATTCGAAGCAGTTATAAAACATTATTGTTCTTTTCAGCTCTTTTTCGGGTTTTATGTACTGATAGCATCTCTTTATTTGCTGCTGCATCTGATCCACCAGTATTCTCTGTTCCTGCTCGCATTCCAAAACGAACCAATCTGGGAATCGTATTTAACTGTGTTACCTGTGAACAGTGATGTGAGATAATTGAGATTGATTGATTGATTGATTTGAACTGACTATCCTTGGTGGCATACTTTCGGTTGGAG